GCTATCCCTTACCTCTGATAGCATGTATGACGGAATCACTGCACGGGGCACGCTTCTTCACGAAATTGGATCTCAGGAGCGCGTACAATCTGGTGAGTATTCGGGAGGGAGATGAGTGGAAGACGGCTTTCAGTACCACCTCAGGACACTATGAGTACCTCGTCATGCCATACGGGTTGATGAATGTTCAAATCAATCTTCCAAGCCTTTGTCGATGAGATTTTCAGGGATCTGCACGGACAGGGTGTAGTGGTGTATATTGATGACATTCTCATATACTCCGCTACACGGGCCGAGCATGTGTCCCTGGTGCGTAAAGTACTTGGACGACTGTTGAAGCATGACCTGTATGCCAAGGCAGAGAAATGCCTGTTCTTTCAGGAGTCCATCTCCTTCCTAGGGTACCACATGTCCACGTCTGGGGTGAAGATGGAGAGTGACCGCATTTCGGCCGTGCGTAATTGACCGACTCCAACCACGGTGAAGGAGGTGCAGCAATTTTTGGGATTTGCCAATCACTACCAGAGGTTTATCCGGGGCTTTGGTCAGGTAGCGATTCCCATTACCTCGTTGCTGAAGGGGGGACTGGTGCGTCTGCGGTGGTCAGCTGAGGGCGTTCAATCAGCTGATGAACCTGTTTACCTCGGCTCCAGTGCTGGCTCATCCGGATCCCTCCTTGGCTTTCACAGTTGAGGTGGACGCGTCGGAGGCTGGGATAGATGCTGTACTTTCCCAGCGCTCGGGCACACCACCCAAGCTCCGCCCCTGTGCGTTATTTTCTAAGAAGCTCAGTCCGGCGGAGCGCAACTATGATGTGGGGGACTGGGAGCTGTTGGCTGTGGTCCAAGCCCTGAAAGCGTGGAGACATTGGCTTGAGGTGGCTAACCACCCTTTTCTCATTTTGACTGACCACCACAATCTGGAGTACATCCGGGCGGCGAAGAGATTAAACCCTCGCCAGGCTAGGTGGTCAATGTTTCTCACCCGTTTTTGTTTCACCCTTTCGTACAGGCCAGGCTCCCAGAACGCTAAGGCAGATGCTCTGTCCCGACTGTATGACACAGAAGAGAGTTCCGTGGAGCCCACTCCCAGTTCACCTCGAGGGTTTGGAGGGCGTTCATGGAACGTCTGGGAGTCTCGTCAGCCTGACCTCAGGGTTTCACCCCGAAAGTAACGGGCAGGTGGAGAGAGTCAACCAGGAGGTGGGTAGGTTTTTGAGGTCGTATTGCCAGGACCGGCGGGGGGAGTGGTCGGTTTTCCTCCCCTGGGCAGAGATGGCCCAAAACTCACTCCGCCACTCCTCCACTAACCTTACTCCATTCCAGTGTGTTTTAGGTTATCAGCCGGTTCTGGCACCTTGGCATCAGAGCCAGATCGAGGTACCTGCGGTGGATGAATGGTTTCGGCGCTCGCAGGAGACCTGGAACGCTTCCCATGTGCGCCTGCAGCTGGCCATCGGCCGGCAGAAGGCGAGCGCCGACCGCCACCGCAGTAAGGCTCCGGTGTATGCACTGGGGGACCGGGTCTGGCTCTCGACCCGAAACCTGCCCCTTTGCCTGCCCTGCCGGAAGCTGGGTCGGCGGTTTGTGGGGCCATTCAGAGTCCTGAGGAGATTGAACGAGGTATGTTATAGGTTACAGCTTCCTCCTGAGTATCGTATTAACCCCTCGTTCCATGTGTCTCTCCTCAGGCCGGTGGTAGCTGGTCCACTCCAGGAGTCTGAGATACGGGAGGTTTCTCCGCCCCCACTGGACATCGAGGGGGCACCGGCGTACTCGATCCGTTATATCTTAGATTCGAGGCGTTGGGTGGGAGGCCTGCAGTATCTCATGGAGTGAAAGGGGTACGGTCCGGAGGAGCGGTGCTGGGTCCCTAGGAGGGACATCCTCGATCCCTCCATGTTGAGGGATTTCCACCATAGTCATCCGACTCGCCCCGCGCCGCGTCCTCCTGGCTGTCCCCGAGGCCGGTGTCGACGCACGGCTGGAGCCGCGCGTCAGGGGGGGGGGGTACTGTCACGGATTCGGCGCGTCAGGGGGGGGGGGTACTGTCAGGCTTCGGCGTTCGTCGTCACCGGAATACTAGCTGCTGCCGATCTATTTTCTATGTTGCACCTGTTGTCTATTGTCACACACCTGTTGCCCATTATTGTAATTTAACCCAGTGGCTCCCAATGTGTTTTGTGCATGGTTGTTTTCGTTTCGTGTGTCGTTGGTGAGCGGGTTAGTTCCTCCCTGTGTGGAGGTATTATGTGTTGTATTCTTTACTTAATTCAGTAAAGTGCGTTTCTGAGAGTTCTGTGTCCTGCGCCTGACTTCGATCCACCGCATTACACTGACACTCGTGACACACAGACAAATGCAAACACCAGCCACGGTCTACGCTTTGGGTCTAGCCACAACTGACCTGGAACAGGTGGATCACACCAGTGATGTCAACATCTCAACTAAGACAATGGAGTCAATCAAAGCACACTGTTCCCAGGACCCACTGTTTCAGGCTCTGTACGCACAAATCAACAACGGCTGGCCTGGAATCAAACAGGCTGTGAGTCACACACTGAAAGATTTCTGGACGTACAAAGAGGAGCTCACCACAGAAAATGTACTGATATTTAAAGGAAACAGGGTCTTCATCCCTGACTTTCTACACAAAATACACTCTGGCCGCTCAGGCATAGAGGCCAGTCTCAGAAAGGCACGTGATGCTGTTTTCTGGCCAAGGATTACGGAGGACGTAAAGATCTTTATCAGCAAATGTGCAACCTACAACTCTATCCAGAAGAGACAACAAAAGGAGACACTCATCCCCCACCAAATCCCTCCCCTCCCATAGTCCAAGATCGGGACGGACTTACTCACAGTCAACAAAACCAACTACCTCATCATGGTCGATTATTACACTGACTACTGGGAGCTCGATGAGCTGACTGACACCACATCAGACACCATCATTGAATGCTGCAAAAAGCAGTTCAGCAGACATGTCATTGCCTAAACTGTTGTTTCTGATAATGCCCCCCCCTCTTCTCCGGAATGGACTTTCAAAAATGTGCTGATGAGTGGGACTTTAAACATGTGACGTCATCACTGTATCACAGCAAAGCAGAATCAGCTGTGAAAATTGCCAAAACGCTCCTAAAAAAGGCTGCAATGGATGGATGGTGAAGAGCCATGGAAAGCAGTGTTGGCATGGCGGAATACTCCAGCAGAGGGACTTAACAGTTCTCCGGTACAGCAACTCATGTCCAGACGCACACGCACGATCCTACCCACCTTGAAAAAACTGCTCAAACCCCAAGTGGTACAAAATGTCATTCCAAGAAAACAAGCCAAAGAGCTGACAGCAAAACACCACTATGGCACACATGCCTGTGACATGCCCAGCATCATCCAAGGACAAACAGTAAGGGTTCTTCTCCGCCCCAACAACTCAGCCAACACTTGGACACTGGGCATATGCACTGATCAACTCAGTGACTGGTCGTATGAATTACTAGTGAATGGTAAAAAATACAGCAGAAACAGAAAATACATTAGTCCAGTGACTGAACAACTCAGGATCCCCCCGAATGACCACCAAACAAACATGGATGAAGATGACTGGGGACCATGGAACAAATCTGTCATCCAAGCATGTGGTGAACAACAGGCAGTTGATATGGAAGTAGCCCCACTGCCTGAAAATAGAACTCTGAGACACACCAGAACCAGGGTAAATATCAGGCTGCCTGTGAGATACTCCAGAGACTATGTTGTTTCATCTAAAAGGTTATATATATATTTATTTATTTATTTATTTGTAAGAGGGAAGAGGGTAGTCTGCTTATTGACTTTAAAGTTGATGCTTATTGAAGGTACTTGATTAAGAACACAGTGATATGTTTTTGTTACCAGTGTAATGTTTTCACTGGCAAGGGTCTAACCCCAGTTCTCCTGTTTATGAGTGGAGGAGGAGTTATCTTCATTTGTTGGGTAAAGGAAGATGTTACGAGATGTCTCCAAGCCAATAGATGGCGCTGCTGTTATGTGTCTCTGAGTGTGATCCTAAATAGTACCAGTGAGCCAAGTTAGGCATAACTTACTATGCACTGAATGGAGCTGTATGCATTATACAGAGTGATGCTGAAGTAAAGACTTTCTAATCAACATGACCTTGCTCTTGTATAGAATAAACACCATACAAAACACATGCTCAAAGGGATATTCAATGTCTGCTTCTTTCTTCCTTTTTTTATCCATCTACTAATAGGTTCCCTTCTTTGCGCAGCATTACAAAACCTCCCTGGTCTTTGTGGTTGAATCTGTGTTTGAAATTCACTGCTCGACTGAGGGACCTTACAGATAATTGTATGTGTGGGGTACATAGATGAGATAGTCATTCAAAAATCATATTAAACACTATTACTGCACACAGAGTGAGTCCATGCAACTTATTATCTGACTCGTTAAGCGATTTTTTACTATGGAAAAACATATTTAGGCTTGCCATAACAAAGGGGTTGAATACTTATTGACTCAAGACATTTCAGCTTTTCATTTTTAATTAATTTGTCAAATTTAGGAAAAACATAATTCCACTTTGACATTATGGGTTATTGTGTGTAGGTCAGTGACAAACAATATAAATGTAATCCATTTTAAATTCAGGCTGTAAAACAACAACATTTGGAAAAAGTCAAGGGGTGTGAATGCTTTCTGAAGGCACTGTAGGTGGTAGATGTTGATTTTTGACTAGTCAAAAGAAACGTTTGCAATCTCAGTTTGACCCACCACGGCTGCTGTAGTTGGAGGTAGATTAATGGTTTGACGTGGAGTAAAGTTATTTCCGCAAAAACTGGATGGAGAAACGGCATGTAACGTTAGTCTGTTTGCCGTAATTTGAGCTAGATTGAGACGGATTAGAATCGGGTCCCAGGTAGACTGGGTCGGTGCTGGAGGGTTGACAACAGTCATTCATAGACTGATCCCTTTTTTCTCCTCCTCATAAAACAGAACAAAATGATTAAAGCCATACTAATATTCAACAACCATGGGAAACCTCGGCTTTCTAAATTCTACGAGCATTACGTGAGTATGCAATTGTTTCGAATCTGCTGTAGCTAGCTAGCATGCATATAACAATGTTAAGTTATCTAGTTAGCTATTGTTTGGGCTAATTCATTGCACCAATATTATTGCAAACAAACAAACAAAGTTAGCTAGCTATACTGTTTTAGGTGGTGTAATTTGTGACCTGACTGGCTTGTTTACGTGGCTAGCGATGTCATTGATCTTGACTTGGGATATCCTATATCAGACTGAGCAACATTGTTCTTTTAATAATTCAGAATGTGTAGGAATAGCTATCGTTTCACACACACAGCCTAACTACTGGAGTTTGCAATAATAATAGTTTGCAATAATAATGGTGCAATGAATTAGCCCAAACAATAGCTAGCTAGATAACTTAATATTGTTATATGCATGCAGGCTTTTCCTGTCTCCTAACAGTCTCATGCACTGATCACTGAGGTATAAATGCTTCGTGTTCGTTCTGTCCTTCCAAAGGTGTTTACGTCACATGACACGCCGATGTTCACGTTATTTACTTGTGCTCCTGCCAATCAATCAATGAATTCCTCATCAAAATAGTTTTTTGTGTATAAAAGATGAACATGTATTACTGGTCACAGGTTAGTAGACAAAGGGACAGACTAGCTAACCATATAGAGTCAGATTATAGATAACGGTAACATAATTGTGCTGAGACTCAGATTTTTCACATTTTGTTACCTTACAGCCTTATTCTAAAATGGATGAAATTGTTTTTCCTCATCAATCTATGCACAATACCCCATAATGCCAAAGCAAAAACAGGTTTTTAGATTTTTTAGAAAATTTATTCAAAATAAAAAACTTTAATCACATTTTCATAAGTATTCAGACCCTTTACTCAGTACTTTGTTGAAGCACTTTTGGTAGCGATTACAGCCTTGAGTCTTCTTGGGTATGACGCTGCAAGCTTGGCACACCTGTATTTGGGGAGTTACTCCCATTTATCTCTGCAGATCCTCTCAAGCTCTGTCAGGTTGGATGGCGAGCGTCGCTGTACAGCTATTTTCAGGTCTCTCCAGAGATGTTTGATCAGGTTCAAGTCCGGCCTCTGGCTGGGCCGGTCAAGGACATTCAGAGACTTGTCCCGAAGCCACTCCTGCGTTGTCTTGTCTGTGTGTTTAGGGTCGTTGTCCTGTTGGAAGGTGACCCTTGGCCCCAGTCTGAGGTCCTGAGTGCTCTGGAGCAGGCTTTCCTCAAGGATCTCTCTGCACAATTGGCCCAGCGTCATCCGGGTTAGGGGAGGGTTTGGCCGGCCGGGATGTCCTTGTCCCATCGCGCTCTAGCAACTCCTGTGGCGGGCCGGACAAACGCACGCTGACGTGGTCGCCAGTTGTACTGTGTTTCCTCCGACACATTGGTGCGGCTGGCTTCTGGGTTAAGCGAGCAGTGTGTCAAGAAGCAGTGCGGCTTGGCAGGATCGTGTTTCGGAGGACGCATGGCTCTCGACCTTCACCTTACCGAGTCCGTACAGGAGTAGCAGCGATGGGACAAGACTGTAACTACTAATTGGATATCACGAAATTGGGGTATACCATTAAAAAAAAAAAAAGGATCTCTCTGTACTTTGCTCCGTTCACATTTCCCTCGATCCTGATTTAGTCTACCAATCCCTGCTGCTGAAACACATCCCCACAGCATGATGCTGCCACCACCATGCTTCACCGTAGGGATGGTGCCAGGTTTCCTCCAGACGCGGGCTGTCATGTGCCTTTTTTACTGAGGAGTGGCTTCTGTCTGGCCACTCTACCATAAAGGCCTGATTGGTGGAGTGCTGCAGAGATGGTTGTCCTTCTGGCAGGTTCTCCCATCTCCACAGAGTAACTCTGGAGCTCTGTCAGAGTGACCATCGGGTTCTTGGTCGCCTCCCTGACCAAGGCCCTTCTCCCCCGATTGCTCAGTTTGGCCGGGCGGCCAGCTAAAGGAAGAGTCTTGGTGGTTCCAAACTTCTTCCATTTAAGAATGATGGAGGCCACTGTGTTCTTGGGGACCTTCAATGCTGCAGACATTTTTTGGTACCCTTCCCCAGATCTGTGCCTCGACACAATCCTGTCTCGTAGCGCTACGGACAATTCCTTCGACCTCATGGCTTGGTTTTTGCTCTGGCATGCACTGTCAACTGTGGGACCTTATATAGACAGGCGTGTGCCTTTCCAAATCATATCCAATCAATTGAATTTACCACAGGTGGACTCCAATCAAGTTGTAGAAACATCTCAAGGATGATCAATGGACAGGGGATGCACCTGAGCTCAATTTCGAGTCTCATAGCAAAGGGTCTGAATACTTATGTAAATAAGGTATTTATGTTTTTAATTTTTTATACATTTGCTAAAATTTCTAAAAACCTGTTCGCTTTGTCATTATGGGGTATTGTGTATAGATTGATGAGGAACATTTATTAAATCAAATTTAGAATAAGGCTGTAACAAAACAAAATGTGCACTGTACATATGAAATGGGTAAAACAGTATGTAAACATTATTAAGGTGACCAGTGTTCCATGTCTATGTCCATAGGGCAGGGATGAGTAACCAGGTGGTAGCTTACTAATTGATAGATCTACCTGGACTTGTTACTTCTGTGAACTTTCATTATCCTCCCTCATGAAGGAGGGAAATTAGAAAATATCTTAAAGATATGTGGGTTTTTGGTCATGGAATTTCAAGGCACAAGGCAATGTTTCTTAAACTTACAGAAGGCAGAACAATTTATTCATAACGAAATATGTGTTTATTAGTTGGCAGGGGTCTTTACTTCAACATTATTGTGTTTTGATGTATTTCTAATATATTTTAAGACTTTTTCTGGTAGATGTTTTCTAATCAGTCCATTTCCATCAGTTTGACCAGAAATCAAAGCCTTTGCTTACTCCAAATGTTTAGGATGGAAAACAGTTGGAAAATGTATATATTCCAGGGCTTGACATTAACTTCTTTAGTCACTTGTCCTTCGCATAAGTAGGACTGATTTTCTCACTTGTCCAGAAATACAACATTTATATATAATTGTATGTTGCAAGGAACCACTTTACAAAATAACATTAATTATTATCATTATTAGCCTATTACCATAGAGCAGGGGTGTCAAACTAATTCCATGGAGGGTCTAGGCCCTAGAAAACCAGGTGAGGGGAGTTCCTTACTAATTAGTGACCTTAATCCATCAATCAAGTACAAGGGAGGAGTGAAAACCCGCAGACGCTCGGCCCTCCGTGGAATGAGTTTGGCACGTGCCATAGAGCAGAGTTTCCCAAACTCGGTCCTCGGTCCAAACTCGGGACCCTCATCAAGCTTTGATTATTTGAATCAGCTGTTTAGTGCTAGGGCAAAAACCAAAACGTGCACCTGGGGGCAGGGGAAAACCGAGTTTGGGAAACACTGCCATAGTAATCAGACAAACATGTAGGATACCCTCTGCCTATTGGCTTCTTTGCATATTCAACCCTATCTCAAAATACAACACTGCCACTTTAAGGATATCCTGGATGATGGTTGGCCACCCTTAGTAGCCTATAAAATATTGCAACATTACAATTACAACCAAATACTGTTTGTCTTCATAAATTAATTCCCTCATTCAATGAATCAGGGATCAAATGACTAAGGTAGGCTACTTCAAAGCAAGGTAACTAACAAATACATGTTTATCTATAACCTTGTAAGGCTAAAATATTCAGGTTTCAGGGGAGGTCTATTGACAGCATGTGAGTTATTTGTCAATTAGGCTATTCTAAGAATATTTTTAACGTTGTCAGAATTACATGGCCAATGTTGAATAGAAGGGAATCCCAGCACTCCATTAGTGGCAGATTTATGTCTCAACTCCCAATTTTGAGCGCTTGAGTAGCGGTTTTACAGCAGGAGTATGTGTCATTGCTTTAGTAATGCACCCGTTCATCAATTGCACATCGGAGTGCCGGTGAATAGATTTTTAGGACATCGGACGTTGACATTAATACATGCTAAAAGCTGAATAGTTAGCTACCGAAATAAGTAGCCAGGCTACACAATATGTTTTGAATTGGTTATGTAGTTAGACAACAGACTATCATTTTTATAGGTTACTTGCTGCTACAATCTGTCTCCCCTCGGCCCCACTCGCACACACAGGTGATTCACACACCATGACTTTGCACCATGATTTTCATGACCGTACCCTGTTTGCTGACCACAAATGTGCTATAACTGGGTAAAAAAAAACTCACATTATCAATGAATATCAGCAAATGTGCACACTCTCCTGCCTGTCAATGCAATGTAGTTCTACTCCGATGTGCAAAAATTGGGAGAGCAATGCACAAAACATGGCATCCAGAGGACACTGATCCAATTTCTGATCCGATTTAATTGTTTGATGTTGTGATTTTTATTTACTTGACCATCTCTATATTCTGCTTGCCAGACAATATTAAAAACTTGTCCCGGACAAGCGTAAATGTTGAGCCCTGTATGCCTTAATTTCTCCAAAATATAGACTCTTAGCTTTCATTTGACACCCAATTTGACATGCTCCTATGAACCACACATGTTGGTGCTCATGGGTCCTTTCACATGGAAATTACCTATGTTTTTTAAATGTAATTTAGGCAAGTATTTTTTTCTCACTTATTTCAACAGGAGAGTTGCTTCCCCCCCCCCCCCCAATTTTTTTTAAAAATAATAATGAATATTGACAGTAATATATGCTACTGCACAATATTGCCCTTTCGATTTTCAGTTCCTAGAGCGAGGAGAGTGGGTGTCTAGATGTTTAGCGGAGTGAAGAGTAGGTTCCTGATAGCAGGCTAGACCAGAGTTTCTGTGCTTGCATTGGCATGGAGAGCTCTCTGCTATGGGCCCTCCCCCTAGTCTTGTGCTTCATGTCACTTGACTCATTTCACATGATCACTTGAAGGCATTCCCTTTCACTGCAATGACCTGACCTACACATATTTCAGAAAGAACATTTGCATGAATATGTGGACACTGGAAAGAGTATGCAGTGAATGTACTGGCACTTTTTTTTAGGTTATGAGTGGGGAAAATGGCAGTCGGTAAACTATCAGAACAAAAGATTGGATAGTTTTAAGCATAAATGTCGTGAAGACCTGTAGCGAAAGCTTTACATTTTTGTTTTCCCATGCACACTGACTGTATTTGTCATTTCTGTTCCACAGAACGAAGACACGGAACAACAGATCATCAGAGAAACATTTCATCTGGTGTCCAAAAGAGATGAGAACGTCTGCAATTTTCTAGAAGGTGGAATGTAAGAGATTCATTTTAAGACATCATCAACTGTACTGAAATCCATAAGTGTTAAGATGAGGCTTTGTCTTAACATTTCCTGCTCGTGTCACAGTGAAATGCATATCCTTTCAATTCCATGTAGACAAATACAACCATTTGAGCTGATGATGTAGGCTACTCTACAGAACGCTACACGAATAGAATCAGCTTTTCGTGAGGCAAGAACACATGACAAATTGCACTGCATGGGAGAGATATGGGAGAGAGGGAGCCAATCAGATGGTGGCCAGCTGGGGAGAGATCAATTAGATCATTATGAAGAGTTGAATATTCATTCATGAAGCAGTCCCAGGTGTTAGGCTATTGCATTGTGGAACCTCCTCTCATTCAACAGAGACTAATAGAACTGGGGTGTAAAATGTTTTGCAACTAAAAACGTATTAGAGAAGTTCAGGTTAGTCTCCTTCTGTTTCTGCCCATTTTCCTTCTGTTTGGTTCCTAGTGAACACACCCCTGGGATCCCTGCTATATGATTGTTTCTACTGTTGAGTCCCATCAACAAATATGATGTTGCTCAAGCAGCTCGACCTTCTACAGACTCAGGTCAACATGCTTTTATCAGGCCTTACAAAGATTGGTCAAGGCTTCTCGACTTGGCTTGCACTTAAAGGAAAACTCCACCCCAAACTATCCTTTGAAATTTGTTTCGTTAGTCCATTGTTAATGCTGCTGCAGAACTGGTTACTTGTTCATAATACCAGCATGTTTGGCTGTGTTTCATGTCATGGAATGTGTGCATTGAGAAATTAACATCACACTGACTGGTGTTTCATTAAGGATCATTGTGTTGACAACTATCCCATGTGTTGATTGGTGCCATGTGTGAGTGTATTTCCCTTGTGGTGTGGACTGTTGTTGTGATATAGAGGTGAAGTACTAGGAGACTGCTGAAGTGTCAGTTTGCAGTGTAAGCACACTGGGTAGATGGCTTGTTGCATTGATATCTATTAACCAACCTTGGCTCACTTCCACATGCATGCCAGTGTTCACAGATTGCAGGCAAACTCACACCAGCTGGGGTATATTTACTAGACGCCAAACAGACTGAAACGGGAGGGACCTAGTTTTTTTTTTTTTTTTTTTTCCTTTCCAATAATAAACGCTAGTTTTCCTTAAAACGTTTTCCGTTGCAAAAGTTTTGCTACGGTTTGCACGAATGAATACACCCCTGTTCAGAGAACTTTTCGATTGTCCCCTCATTTTGTTTTTGTGTCGTCAGGTTGATCGGTGGGTCTGAGAACAAGCTAATCTACAGACACTATGCCACGCTCTACTTCGTATTCTGCGTCGATTCCTCGGAGAGCGAGCTTGGCATCTTAGACCTTATCCAGGTAATGTTTCTAAAGCCTTGGTGGAAAATGTTTTGTTTTTGAACTATGAACATTTGGTGCCACCATCTTAGATGGGCTAGTTGTTGGTGGACGTGTCATTGGAGTAAAACAAGGGCCAACCTATTACACTGTTCAGTGAATGTGATAGTCTTTCCACAGGTGTTTGTGGAAACACTGGACAAATGCTTCGAGAATGTCTGCGAACTTGACTTAATTTTCCACGTGGACAAGGTACAAAGTATTTTATCAGCTATATCCTATCAATACACCCTTCATTTTAATATTTCCTATATCGAACACCGGCATTTGATGTTCACAATGAATCTGTGACTCCCCGTAGACACTGACTGTGCCATTGTGTAATTTATTTAATATAAGACTGTCTAGGTGACTTGATCTCCCCTGTGATAACGCTCGGCCCTGCTGGCTCGTCTTAAGACAATCTATTGTCAATGTCAATATCTAGCCAAGTCTGTTGCAGCAGAGCAGGATATTGCGGCACTTTCTGCACAGGTTGCCTCGTTTCACGCAGGAAGATGCCATTGATATTCATGTATACACAGGGTAATATGAGCAAAGAGAAAGCAATATAACTGTGACAGCAGCAATCTATAACCTAGTCTCGGAAAACCCAGACGTAGGGCAATGGCACTGGTGTATGCAGGAACATTATTAATGGCCAAAGCAACCCATCTGCCTAGTGAAGCGAAGCAATCTACATAAAACAAACCAATTATAAATGGGACTTGGTGTGATTTATGTTTGTATATTGAATGTTTTTACATGAGATAAGGTTGCATGTATATCTCTCATCAGGTCATCTGTTTTCAAAGGTTGTTTATCTCCTGTTCACATTTGTTTAGCCTCTTTTAATATCTAACAATAATAAATAAGGGATTTTTTTCTTAGACAATGAAATACTTATTGAAATTGATCCTGTAGGTTCCAGAACCCCCCCCCCCACGTCTTTGGGTTACAGCAATAGGATGTTTTCTCAGTCAGAGAATAACCTGTTAATTGAACATATTCTATTGAACCTGCAGGTCCACAATATACTGGCAGAGATGGTGATGGGGGGGATGGTGCTGGAGACCAACATGAATGAGATCATCACACAGGTGGACGCCCAAAACAAAATGGAGAAATCGGAGGTAAGAGTGGCAGTACTTCTTTATGACTTCCTATACTCCAGGTATGTGGAGGCATGCGTGTATGCTGGACCCTGCATGCCCTTCCTGTGATGCTCCTGATAGGTGTTTGTGCTCTCTGGCGCTCCACTGCTGCACCACATAGAAATACATTCTCTTCCTACCTACCCCCAAATATATAATCATCATCATAAAACACAGATTGTCTCTTCTACCGAATGTAAATGTACACATTGTCCAATGCATCTGCGTGATCCTGATCCTCAATCGCCTCATTGTTCGTCCCACTCTACAGACTGGAAATGTCCTGTTGGCGCATTTGCTTAAATGAGGGGATGGTAGCGTTTGGATGACTGTTGAATGGTTAGTTGTGGTCATTTTGATAAAGTTGTCCTGAGCTGATCTTTTTAGCATCTGTGAGCTGATATCCTGTAGCTGAGTTGTCCATGATATTAAGACCTAGATATTGCTTGGTTCTCATGCAGCTGTTGTCACTAATGAATTAGCAGATCTCTTGGAATATAGTCTCTAAATTTCACCATTCCTGAAAACAGATTGTTACAGCCAGAGACAATTTCATGGAATCATTGCCATTTGCCAATGGCAGAACAATGCCATCATGACTTAGACTTGGTGTATTTTAAATTGACACACACACACACACAGTTCTCTAGTTAAATAAACGAATATGAAGCGAAATATTTCAGAAAAGCCTAAAATGTTTATCAGTAAGTTCTTTTGATGAGATATTTGGTCAGGTTACGTTTGCTTGGCTGTTATTGTAATGTAGTGCTGCTACACTATAAGGTTACACGGTGAGACTCTAAAGGCCATGGATGTGTAACTTGCTGTTAAGTTATCTTTGTTTCAAATTGGTGCTGTACCATTGGCTAACATTTTACAGATTTTACCTCACTGTAGCAATGTGGCTGTATCTATGGAAACAATGCTTTGGTAACAACTTTAGGCTGCATTTTGTGGTTGATCAAATGGAATCATTCTTGACAGATGTATTGTAAGCCGAGTTTTGACTGTTCAACAAACATCAGATCTGGTCCGTCTTTTCCTTCTTGGACCTACCCTAGACCGCAGTGTTCCTCATAGTCATAATCATTCAAACTTCACCACCAAACCTAATTCAGACACATAAAGAATGATGTAAACTAAATAAATTCCTAGCAGTGTGTAAAAAATCGTCAACACAAATTGGTGAAGAATGGATTTAGTTCACTTTCACATGCTCAACCGGCTCAATGTAAAACATCAGAAGTGTTTCTATGAATTTGGAGGTGTTGAGGCCTCTCTCAGTTGCGTGTCTATGAATGCGGTCTACGATAGGTCTTTTCACGTTCTATTTATACTGAACAAAAATATAAACGCAACATGCAACAGTTTCAACGATTTTACTGAGTTACAGTTCATACAAGGAAATCAGTGAATTTAAATAAATTCATTAGGCCCTAATCTATGGATTTCCCATGACTGGGCAGGGGCGCAGCCATGGGTGGAGCCAGGTCCACCCACTGGGGAGCCAAGGCCCAGCCAATCAGAATTAGTTTTTCCCCACAAAAGGGCTTTATTACAGACAGAAATACTCCTCACTTTCATCAGCTGTCCGGGTGGCTGGTCTCAGACGATCCCGCAGGAGAAGAAGCCGGATGTGGAGGTCCTGGGGTTGGATGTACTACCAAATTCTCTAAAACGATGTTGGAGCCAGCTTATAGTAGATAAATCTCTGGCAACAGCTCTGGTGGACATTCCTGCAGTCAGCATGCTAATTGCACGCTCCTTCAAAACTTGAGACATCTGTGGCATTGTGTTGTGTGACAAGACTGCACATTTTAGTGGCCTTTTATTGTCCCCAGCACAAGGTGCACCTGTGTAATGATGCCATTTAATCAGCTTCTTGATATGCCACACCTTGGATTATCTTGGCAAAGGAGAAATGCTCACTAACAGGGATGTAAACAAATTTGTACACCAAATTTGAGAGAAATAAGCTTTATGTGCGTTTGGAAAATTTCTGGGATCTTTTTTTATTTCAGCTCATGAAACATGGGACCAACACTTTACATGTTGCGTTTATATTTTTGTTCAGTATATACAAACTATAATTACTCTGATCTGCTTTAACAACATTCCTCATTCCTCTTTTTCCCTGACCATTTCTAGTTCTTTGCATTCTTCTCTCTTTACAGATGTTTATCTTTCAGTCTCCCAGACAGGACAGGTAGACACAGGTACTACTACATTTCCAACCAAGTACTGTAACCTCCCAAATTTACACTATATCTAGTTCTCCATAGGCTGACCGCTTAATAGCAAAACGACGTCACTAACATCCAAATCTTTTACAGCAGACCCAACAATTTATCACTGTTAGAGTAATGAAACCCCATATTGCTTAGCCACTGTTAAGGAAATCGGTTAACATGATTCAATGATCATTTGAAACTTCCATGTATGGTGATAGTAAATCGTTTTTAATTAGGATGACAGGGACTTGATATTGCACCAATACCAACGTTTCGGGCAAACTAGGCTTAGCCATACAGAAGTGTTTGTCAATAAATGCAGGTGGGCAGTTTTTTTAAATCTGGTCCCATCATAGCCCATATAAAAACGTTTTTACAGCTGATTTATTACTATGTCATACACTACAACTAGGGTCCAGAGTTGGTTAGGTTAGCCTACTACCAGATCAGGAAAAATGCTGGGCCCCAGGAAAACAATTCCCCCCCACCACTCTGGGACCTGTGGTGCCACCTCTGTAATCACCACACAATGTTACAAATTAAAAACCATATCCTATGTGTGTGATCTACATTTGTTTTTGGTGGCAGGGATGGGCTTCCATAGTTTTACGTGGCTCAGTGCAGCCGGCAGCTACTGCAAAATGTTCAGAATGTAACAGGCTGTTACTGCGATTTCAGGTAACTCAACAAAACTAGTCTCAAATATTAGGAACATGTCAATACATTTCAGCAGTTTCAAAAACATTGCTCCGCTATTACCATTTATACTGTAGGAGTGTTGGCTCAACGAGACAATTCTGTTTACACTGCCCTGCTTCAAGTGGGGGCAACTGTCGGGCGAGTGTCATCTCCAGATGTAGCGCGAGCAACGTAGCAAGTACGCAAGTTTACATGCATACGTGTAGCCGACTGTATTTTTACCAAAAGTCTAAGTGTGAAGAGCAGTGGAGGCTGCTGAGGGGAGGACGGCTCATAATAATTGCTGGAACGGAGTGAATGGAATGGCATCAAACACACAGAAACCATGTCTTTAATGTATTTGATACCATTCCACCGATTCCGCTCCAGCCATTACCATGAGCCCGTCCTCCCCAATTAAGGTGGCACCAACCTCCTGTGGTGAGGCTCTAAGAGGTGCAATTATACTGTTCACCTGTCTGGTCTGGCTTGGTGTTTGTGTCTGTAACAGAGAGGTCTCGTCGCAATTTCGCAGGTACTGAAAATTCAAGCCAAACCTCGCTAGGTTGCTAGATAGCCAAGCACAACTCTGCATGCTCTGCATGTCTCTATTGGTTCTTGTCAACATGTTCTGCTTTGCTGCCCTATAACTCGTATCAGACTGCTTTTATGACATGTGTAAACCACTGTTTACATACATTAAATGTGTGTTTTACCTCTTGGTGTGTGACACATCAGTGTTTATTAATCAACAGACCATATCCCAAGCCAGTCATTTGGTTTCCCAGGCAGTCACAGCTCAGTGCTGACACAGCAGTAATGCCTGTTTGGGGAGATCTGTGGAACATAGTTTTAGTACGGCGTGATTCTTAAGATATATATGTGTGACTGAGTACTAGACCAGAAACCTAGGCAACTGGCAAGGAGCAAGTCTAATTTGTCTCCCTTGAGTTGTTACATATAGTTTAGGCTATACAGTATGAAGTAGTTGACTGGCTGCCAAGGTTAGTAAAAACCCAGGGTTCTTCTCGTTTGAGGACAGTAGCTACTCTGTATTGCCACTCAACTTGAGAGCAGCAAAATGTATGAAGGAGACTTAAACTGACCTCATGTTTTTAATTACAGCGGATGAAATGAGAATCCTGTGTACATCAAGGGTTCGAACCGGTTCAGGGAGCAGAACCGGAAAATAACTATATTTTTCAAGGAACAGAATCAGAACCGGGAACGAAAGTGATCTATACTATTCCGGAACAGAACTGTTATTTTAAAAGCATGGGAACCGGTTAATAATGTTATTTTACGTTCCGGGCAACAACAAAAAACGCAACAAAGCGCCAGTATCTGCATGCCAGCCTAAAATCTTTGCCAGTGTGTGCGCGCGTGTGAAGGCTACCTGTCCCTGCCCCTCTGAAGCATAGCTATAAGCCTACTGACGTTACAAGCGTGATTCAGAAGATAGGGAGAGGTTTTTAATTAGAGAAGAATGGATTTACTTTTCAATGCTAGTTAGGGATACTATAGTTATCACATTTCACATTGGATTTATTAACTACAAGAAGGTAAGATGTGTTTTTAATTATGGTGCTGCTCTGCACACACAAGCTTGTTAGCGATCTAGCATCTCTGGTCCAACGTTAAGCCAACTCTGAAGTTCAAAGACTTTCAAAATTCCTCCATAGAAGACGCTCCTCCGTAGGTATAATTCTTTATTTTGTTGGTCGGAACATTGGAACGGAACTTAAAAAATAAGGGTTCTGTTCAGAAAGAAACCATTGAACAATTATTTTTGAAATGGCTAAACAACTGCTTTAAACAGCTAGTGATCGCTACAGATTTTATATTTGTAACCGGTCCTATGGTAGTTGAAAAGTGAGACCTTGTTTTACTAATTTTCACACCTAGAAAGTGTAGCCTAGTAGCTAGAAGCTGTTTTTGAATTTTAATTTATGGGTCTGACTGTTGAAGATTCTGTGGGTGGATCTCTAACAGCGGTGATTTTCAAAAGCAATCCCTCAAAATCTAGGGATCAAGAAATGTTATTCATAGCAAATGTCCATTACTTATTTTGCTATTGACATTTCAACCAATATGTTTCCGTATCTGAAATTATATTAGATAACCTTTTTATATCGTTTTCTATTGACCAATGCTTTGAAATTCACTGCTTTAGTGGGTTTCCTCCCTCCTTCAGTATACCATAGAGTAGACACCTTGTTGTGACGTAGTATTACACCAATTCCCCACATGGTCCATATCATTGGGTAATACCATGGAAATAACTCACAACATTGAATAGCTGTCGCTTGAATCTTTTATGTACATTTTAATAATCAAACATTAGCCTAGATTGAACAGTCATATTTTGCACTGAACCTTGTCACCCCCCGTTACCAACTAGTAAGTCCTTACCTTACCGTGTGAAGAGTTGTTGCAATTGTAATAAATTACACTATGTCTTTGAAAAAGTTCCTAAATGTTTTAATCAGTAAAACATAGTCTGTTGTTTATTGTACTTCAGGAATGGTCAGAAAAAGGTCTACGAAACTATTATGAATTGTAATAATGATGTTATTTCACTGAGAATTACTTAAGCTGTAAGAAATGTACAGTGCATTCGGAAGTATTCAGACCCCTTGACTTTTTCCAAATGTTTTTCTGTTAAAATGGATTAAAGGAAGAAACAAATCCCTCATCATTCTACACACAATTCCCCATAATGACGAAGCAAAAACATTTTTATTTTTGCAAATAAATAAACTGAAATTACATTTACATAAGTATTCAGACCCTTTACACAGTACTTTGTTGAAGCACCTTTGGCAGCGATTACAGCCTCGAGTCTTCTTGGGTATGACGCTACAAGCTTGGCACAACTGTATTTGGGGAGTTTATCCTATTCTTTTCTGCAGATCTTCTCAAGCTCTGTCAGGTTGGATGGGGAGCGTCGCTGCACGGCTATTTTCAGGTTTCTCCAGAGATATTCGATCGGGTTCAAGTCCGGGCTTTGTCTGGGCCGCTCATGGACATTCAGAGACTTGTCCCGAAGCCACTCCTGCATTGTCTTCGCTGTGTGCTCAGGGTTGTTGACCTGTTGGAAGGTGAACCTTCGTCCCAGTCTGAGGTCCTGAGCGCTCTGGACAAGGTTTTCCTCAAGGATCTCTCAGTACTTTGCTCCATTCATCTTTCCCTCGATCCTGACTAGTCTCCCAGTCCCTGCTGCTGAAAAACATCCTCACAGCATGATGCTGCCAACACCATGCTTCCCCGTAGGGATGGTGACAGGTTTCCTCCAGATGTAACGCTTGGCATTCAGGCCAAAGACTTTCATCTTGGTTTCATCAGACCAGAAAATCTTGTTTCTCATGGTCTGAGAGTCTTTAGGTGCCTTTTGGAAAACTCCAAGCGGGCTGTCATGTGCCTTTTACTGAGGAGTAGCTTCCGTCTGGCCACTCTACCAGAAAGGCCTGATTGGTGGAGTGCTGCAGGTCTGGAAGATTCTCCCATCTCCACAGAGGAACTCTAAAGTTCTGTCAGTGACCATCGGGTTCTTGGTCACTTCCCTGACCAAGGCCCTTCTCCCCGATTGCTCAGTTTGGCCGGGCGGCCAGCTCTAGGAAGAGTCTTGGTGGTTCCAAACTTCTTCCATTTAAGAATGATGGAGGCCACTGTGTTCTTGGGGACCTTCAATGCTGCAGAAATGTTTTGGTACCCTTCCCCAGATCTGTGCCTCGACACAATCCTGTCTCGGCGCTCTACAGACAATTCCTTTGACCTCATGGCTTGGTTTTTGCAAATCATGTCCGATCAATTGAATTTACCACAGGTGGACTCCAAGTTGTAGAAACATCTCAAGGATCATTAATGGAAATAGGATGCACCTGAGCTCAATTATGAGTCTCATCGCAAAGGATCTGAATACTTATGTAACTAAGATATTTCTGTTTTTTTATTTGTAAGAAATTTGAAAACATTTCTAAAAACCTGTTTTCGCTTTGTCATTGAGGTATTGTGTGCAGATTGATGAGAGAATAAAAAACAATCAATTTTAGAATAAGTCTGTAACGTAACAAAATGTGGAAAAAGTCAAGGGGTCTCAATACTTTCTGAATGCACTGTATATGAGTGAGCAGAGTAAATCTTAGCGTAGCGTGATTTCCATTAGGCCGTCTGATATTGCTCTAGTTAGTTTCCCAAGACACACAGCCTATATAAGACATTTTACTTCAGTCACATGCCCAATTTATGTTTTCTAAATTCTATAAACATTCTATACATACCTATAGCTTCATTTCCTCCTCATATCAAAATACATTTTTTCTGCTTTACCCAATTCTCTCCTTGCATTTGTATCCTTATGGGTCCTCAAGAATTCGGTGGGTTCACTTTTCAAGCAATGCTGCCTCTGTCTTTAAAGAAAAGTAAATTTAATATTTGAAGATCAATGAATGTAGCACTGTTCTCACAGTTGATTCATAATTGGCCCTGGTTGTGATGTAAATCATAAATGAACCAAATATTGCATGTGCATATGAAGCTAGGCGTTTGGATGTACATTTGCACATATGTCTGTTAGTAGTCGATGCTTTGCATTTTGTCTGGTGGTGTCTGTGGTGCTGTGTGTTTAGTCCTGTGGGGTTGTGTGTCCCTGTCCATTGTGAGTGTCTGGTGGTGTCTGTGGTGCTGTGTGTTTAGTCCTGTGGGGTTATGTGTCCCTGTCCATTGTGAGTGTCTGGTGGTGTCTGTGGTGCTGTGTGTTTAGTCCTGTGGGGTTATGTGTCCCTGTCCATTGTGAGTGTCTGGTGGTGTCTGTGGTGCTGTGTGTTTAGTCCTGTGGGGTTGTGTGTCCCTGTCCATTGTGAGTGTCTGGTGGTGTCTGTGGTGCTGTGTGTTTAGTCCTGTGGGGTTATGTGTCCCTGTCCATTGTGAGTGTCTGTGGTGTCTGTGGTGCTGTGTGTTTAGTCCTGTGGGGTTGTGTGTCCCTGTCCATTGTGAGTGTCTGGTGGTGTCTGTGGTGTCTGTTTCTAGGGATTCTTAACTGCGTTTTATTTATGTTTTGTGTGCAGGCTGGTATTGCAGGAGCCCCTGCTCGTGCTGTGTCCGCTGTAAAGAACATGAACCTCCCCGAAATGCCCAGAAACATCAACATTGGAGACATCAGTATAAAAGTGCCAAACTTACCCTCCTTCAAATAGCCGGCAAGACCCACCGTGCAGAAGTCGACCAATGTTTACCAAAATCCAAACAAATACCAACTTTTCTCAAAAATCATGAAGGTACTGTGTGAATTTCTTTTTTTGTTTCCCTGTTTTTAAATGAATGTCATCGATGTGGCTTTGTTCTGTTTGAGAAAATTAAGTATTTATTTATTACATTCCTCTACCCTCACTGGAGGTGTGCCCTTGGAAATTCATACTTTAGTAGTGGTTTGTAAAACTTAACAGAATATTCTTATATACAGTATATGATGCACAGGAGGTTGGTGGCATCCTTAATTGGGGAGGACGGGCTCCTGGTAATGGCTGGAGCAGAATATGTGGAATGGCATCAAACACATGGTTTCCATGTGTTTGATGCCATTCCATTTGCTCCGTTCTACCAATTATGAGCTGTCCTCCCCTCACCAGCCTCCATTGATATGATGATGTAAGCTGAAATTGTATATCTTTGTCTTATCTGTATACACAATGGTTTAAACAAATTATCTTGTCTTATCAAAAATGTTTCTCTTGATTTTAATCAGTGCATGTATGTTTTTTTGTTTTGTTTTTTTGCAACTTAATAAAGTATTGAATCATTTTATGCCTATTTGGAATTTGTGTTGGCAGTTAGAGGTTTCATTGTATTCAATAATGGAATAGTGCAGTTAAGTATGTTTGTCTGAAAGAAGAGCAAGTTGGACCGCTGTTTGATCTAAGTAGGTAACATCTTATGGACAGGCATCCCATGATTGCATTCTTGTTGTCGGTAGCTTCTGTGAGAAACCAAACACATTTTGAAGTGATAGGTGCTCCATGCTACTACGTAAAGCAATACGCCATCATAAAGTATATTAGTGGCCAGTACTTGACTAAACAAAAATGCCATTGATAATTGATTGACAATTTACTGCGATATCCAATAAAGTCATGCACAAATATACTATGTGCAGTTTGGTCATCACGCAGGAGAGTGCGAATTCTCACGACCGGCTCGGCGGGGAAAAAATACGATGGAAGTGGATTCTGAATCTAATGGCGGTAGAATCAAGAAGAATTGGACTATTGTCCAAAAGAAAGGGAAACGGAGCAAAGTAGAGTACAGTGATGAGAATGTCACTTCGTATCTTGTAGGAGTACGGTTTGTAAATGAGGAGCAGCTGATTGAATTACAAATCGTGAGGAATCCATTTGAGATATCCAAACTGGTGGAGCGAGTGCAGGGTAGAGTGAAGGCTGTGACGATCAAAATTCGTACAAATTAATTTTTGTGCTTCTTAGGATCAGAAGAAACGTGTGTTGTTAAGTTTGAAGTGTCGTGTGTGTCTCTTAGGAACAGGGCACCCCTCAAGAGGGTTATATCTGGAGTCTCGTGGGAAGTAGATGTTGACGAGATGAAAAATATTCCTGGAGTGATTGATGCTCGTCGGATGAATCGTGTGGTGAATGAAGAAAAAGTAAAGAGTTTATCTGTTCTTTTGTTTTTAGATATGGAGTCTCTCCTTACTCAAGTGCAGTTACGGTATATTAACTACAGAGTCAGAGCATTTATCCCAAGACCAATGTGATCATTGTAAAGCTTTTGGTCATGTAGAAAGTGTTTGGGGGTGGCCGAGATATACAAGATGTGGGAAATATAATATGTGTTATAAAAGTGAAGAAAATGTGACATGTTGTAATTGGGGTGGGAATCATGAAGCCACGTCTTCTGAATGCCCCACAAGGGTAAAGGAGAATGACGTGGGGCAAAATCAGGGTTGTACAGAGCATTTCATATGCAGAAGCTGTGAAAAGGGTTGAGGGTTTGAATGTTGCACCAGAAGAGTCCATTGTTAGTTAAGGGCTGTAAGTAAGCATTTCACGGTAATGTCTACACTATGGAGAACTAAAAGAAGGAAGAAGTGGGAGTTTTGTTTGTTTTGGCAATGTACTGTTTTTATTAGGGTGGGTTATTGGAATCACTATTAAGTATGTTTTTTGGGGGTTTCAAATCGTCCGGTTGGTGGCGGCAATACAACTTTTGGATGTAGTCCGCCATAAAACCCACAGAAGAAGAAGAATAACGTATGACTGCACGTGACTGCTTTAGGCCAAGTTTTGCGCAGCTTTTATGCAGCAAAATCCGTACAAATGTTTATTTAATTGTCAGTTCGTATGCAAACCAGTAATATAGACTTTATTGTTAATTATAACAGCATAGATTACAATCTTATATCAAGTTGATTTGTTATTTGTGTGAAATAAAGTGGTTCAGTGAATGAACGCGCAATGTAGATGGTCGCGAATGCAGTGTTTCACAACAGGAAGAGAACAGAAGGATGACTGCTGTTGCATTTTGTAGTAACAGATTTAAACTTTGAAACGAATAATATATTTGTTAAACATACAGAAGACAGTGATGGCTGCCATAATCACAGAAACACAAAGGTAGGCATTTAGTTTACGTTTATTCTACTTCAAGGTAACACTGATTTTCTAAATGAAACGTTAAGCTAGCAAGTTAATTAGATAGCTAACGTTAGCGACTGTTAATTAGTTTGCAAGAAGCTTAGCTAAATATAAGTCGAAAAGTCATATTTCTAGTCAATCTTTATTAAATTGCACGAGGGTCTCACTCTCTATAGCAATATTTACATGAAAAATATAGCTAGCCATGTTCCAGCCATAAGAATCTGACTTTAGTTCATTTCTTAAGGGGAGATGGAACGAACGTTACAGTACGACCGTAATGTCGGTTATCTTTAGGATAGTCCTACTCATCCATTCATGACAGCAGTTTCATCCATTTCTGTTAGTTAGCTTAGTGTGCGCCACACAATCTGACATTGTTATTCAATCCACAGCATAAAAGAAGCTGTGACTTTCATCAACACAATTGAACTGAATAAGTTATCCAGACTTCTTTCACGAATTCTGCAGAAACTTCACCTGAAGGTAGGTGTCTCCAGAGAGCAAGTCAGGTGGCGTATAATTGGCATAACATAGACATATGTTCCTAAGTACTCTTGCCAACTCCATTGCTGTCATTGTCAAGCCTGACAATTCACTAAGGATTAGTTGGTAAGAGAGACGAAAGACTGGCACCCAGGCTACACAAACTCAGTATCATGCATGATAAGCCTAATTTGGGTTTACTAGAATAGTGCAAGTGCCACTGGTGTTATTGCATTTCTAGTGCCGTCAAACATCAGGCTTTAGTCATGATATTACTGCAGCCCACTTGAATCATCATTTTTCCAGTGCACATGTTTACGAAGAATGATGCAGTTACTTGTGTCCCTCAGGAAGAGCGCACGTTTAGTGAGGAGGAAGAACAGAAACTGCAGAGTGCTCTGTCATTGGACAAGCAGGATCTCAGTCTGGTGCTGGATACAGCTGCCTTCATTCTAGAACAGGTAAGTAGGCCTTGATGTTTGCCTCAACTCTAGCTACACTACATGACCAAAAGTATGTGGACAGCTGCTCGTCGAACATCTCATTGCAAAATCATGGGCATTAATATGGAGTTGGTCCCCCCTTTGCTGCTATAACAGCCTCCACTCTTCTGGGAAGGCTTATCACTAGATGTTGGAACATTGTTGCAGGGACTTGCTTCCATTCAGCCACGAGCATTAGTGAGGTCAGGCACTGATGTTTGGCGATTAGGCCTGGCTCGCAGTCAGCGTTCCAATTCATCCCAAAGTTGTTCGATGGGGTTGAGGTCAGGGCTCTGTGCAGGCCAGTCAGTTCTTCCACACCTATCTCGAGAAACCATTTCTGTATGGACCTCGCTTTGTGCACGGGGGCATTGTCATGCTGAAACAAGAAAGGGCCTTCCACAAACTGTTGCCACAAAGTTGGAAGCACAGAATCGTCTAGAATGTCATTGTATGGTGTAGCGTTAAGATTTCCCTTCACTGGAACTAAGGGGCCTAGTCCGAACCATGAAAAACAGACCCCATTATTCCACCTCCACCAAACTTTACAGTTGGCACAATGCATTCGGGCATGTAGCGTTCTCCTGGCATCAGCCAAACCCAGATTTGTCCGTCAGAATGCCAGATGGTGAAGCGTGATTCATCACTCCAGAGAACGCATTTACACTGCTCCAGAGTCCAATGGTGGCAAACTTTACACCACTCCAGCAGACGCTTGGCATTGCGCATGGTGATCTTAGGCTTGTGTGCGGCTGCTCGGCCATGGAAACCCATTTCATGAAGCTCCTGACGAACAGGTCTTGTGCTGACGTTGCTTCCAGAGGCAGTTTGGAACTCGGAAGTGAGTGTTGCAACCAAGGACAAACGATTTTTATGCGCTTCAGCACTCGGTGGTCCCGTTCTGTGAGCTTGTCTGGCCTACCACTTCGCGGCTGAGCCGTTGTTGCTCCTAGACGTTTCCACTTCACAATAACAGCACTTACAGTTGACCAGGGCAGTAATTTGACGAACTGACTTGTTGGAAAGGTGGCATCCTATTACTCTGCCACGTTGAAAGTCTCTGAGCTCTTCGGTATGGGCCATTCTACTGCCAATGTTTGTCTATGGAGTTTGCATGGCGGTGTGCTCGATTTTATACACCTGTCAGCAACGGGTGTGGCTGAAATAGCCGAATCTACTAATTTGAAGGGGTGTCCACATACTTTTCTATATATAGTGTAGAATAAAATATATTTAATTCATTGTTGCACAGTTAACCTATCTTTTCCAGTCTAGTGTTTAGTGTACTGTTGCCCAGTTTGAAGCTGATTGAGAATTTCTAGGTGTCACATAAAGAGCAATTTAAAACATGATGTTTGAAGTGTTCACTGTGCACAAGTATCCAAAGTATGTACATTGAAACCCTTTTATGGTGCTATTGGTGATGAGGATATAAAAGCAGTAGGCTACTGCCTGAAAGAAAGGTCACAACATGCTTTGCGGAGCATCATTGTTATAACAGTGTGTTACATAAGCGCCAGATGCCAGCCAAATAGCTGACTGCTAACTAACTACAGAAGCATTGACTTTCATCAATGCAATTCACCAAGAATTCTGCAGAAACCTCACCTGACGGTAGGTTTCTCCACTGAGCAATATGAGTTGAGGTGTCATGTGTAGAATTGGCATAACATCCTAATGGAATGGCCACGTACATGTATATTTTTTCCTCAGTGAAGCTTGGTTGGATGCTCAGTACCATTCAATATGTTTTTTGCAGTCAAGTGACTGCTGTCATGAGAGAAGAGATTTTCCATGTACACCTAGATTTAGCATCTAAACATGTATTATGCGACGGTCAATAAAAAAGTGCCTTGAGTCTTATTGCAGATCCTCTCTCTATCTCTATTCAGACTGTCTATCATAATGTGAAGCCTGCATCCCTGAAGCAGCAGCTCGAGAAAATCCATCTCTCCCCAGAGACGGCGGAGGCCTTCTGCCAGGCCTGGACCACTGTCGGCCCAGATGTCGTGGAGAAGATCAGGCAGAGGATTTTTGCTCCCAAAAAGGTGAGGTGTGTCCATGGCAGTGCGATAATTCTGCCCCTGCAATGCCGTTTAAGCTTTATTTATAACGTACGTACTCAACGCAAGATTGCAATTACTGGAGCTACGAGAAATGGCGATCCTGCGTAGTTGCGTCCAGTTGCAAATTGCGTTGCTGCACACATTTGCATATTTTTGCTACACAAGTACATAGAACGGCTAATTGTGTTATTGCATTGCGTATGTACGCAAGGTATAAATTAGGCTTTCCTGTCTCTGGTGGATATGCAATGAAAGCGGCGAACGTTCTTTGTGCCATTAAACCAGTCCAGTTGAGCCAGAGTCCCGAGCAACATTGGCATGCATAGGAAACTGCCAGATCCAACTGATCATTTGAACATAAAATATTATACAAATCTCTGTGTATGTTAACACCATAGAATAGAGTCAAAGCAGGCATAGCCTGTGATGTTGTCATGATAATCTCAGCGACAGCAGTCTTCGGGGGTGTCCCAAATGTCACCCTATTCCCTATATAGTACACTACCTATGGTCCCTGGTCAATAGTAGTGCACTATATAGGGAATAGGGTGACATTTGGGAAGTAGTTTTAGCAATGTGCCCCTTGGGAGGCTGGAGTGGGTGTCATCACACTTGGTGCTGTGACGTCCTGGGACCACACAGAGAGATCTCCGGGTATATTATGCCACTCTGCATCATAAAACACTTAGCCCACCCCCTCCTCTAAGCACACCTAATCTATTTCACTGTTAAGGCAGATTAATGGAGCGTCCATCTATAAATCTGCCACTTAGCGATCCCCTTGGGCCTCTGCTTTAAATGTGCTTTCACTGTACCATCCAACTGATCAGGGCCCGGTTTCCCAAAAAGCACGTTAGAACCTTCGTAGGAGCATCGTTAAATCTCAGAGCCGTTTCCCAAAATCATTGTTACTAAAGTTGCACTTAAACGCTTGTTATTTACCGACTGCCTCAGCTAAGTCTGTCGTTAGGTGCTTTCTTGCCCTTCCACATTACTTTATACAAGATCTGCGCTAAACATAGAATCAAGATTTTGAACTATGCATCGTTTAAACACTCGTAAGCCTAAGTTCCATCGCTATCGGGAAACCCGGCCCAGAATTGTTTCTTAAGATTTCTTAATGCTAGAATCCTTAATGAGTGAAACTGCCAAGTCCGCTGGGGATATTGCAACAACAATGAAGTTACTGAAAACAACGAACACTATTTAAATTGTTTTTATCATGGTGTCTGTGTGGTTGATAGCTGGAACATGTCGGATGGCAGCTCAACCTTCAGATGGCCAAGTCCACCCAAGCCAAGTTGAAGGAGCCACATGCAGTGCTGGAGCTCGGCGTCAGAAATGAGGATTCTGAGGTAAATAGCCTACTTCACACTGTGGAACACACACACACCTTTGTTACCCGCTCAGAACAGAGGGGCTGTTTACTTAACAGTTCTCAGGGGATCCATCCAATCTTCCAAATGGATGCTAATTCTGCATGTGTCCCTCTTGACACTGAAGCAGACCTGAAACCAGTGAGCAGGGAGCTTGTTAACGATGGCCTCAAGGGCCTGCTTTCCTTTTAGTCCTGTGGAGTCTGTATCTGTACAGTGTCAGTAGACCATGTATGTCCATCCAAATGGACAGCATCTGCAGATTTTTATCAGAAAATGTGAACCTAATGGTTCCATTGGTTGTTATGGTAACACCAGGTTTATCAAGTGTTCCTGTTTATGGTCTATTGTTTAGTATTCTGTCCCCAGAGTGCGCTCACCCTCTCTCTCACACTCTCTCTCACACTCTCTCTCACACTCTCTCTCACACTCTCTCACACTATCTCTCAATATTTAAATTGCATCAGTTCATAACAGTAATATGTGCTATTCTTTATCTCATGCACACTATAGCAGGATGATTAAAAAAATATCTCAATATTTCCTCCCAAGCAAGAAAAACATGAATCAATCAATTTATTTAAATCCACTTACATGGGCCCTGTTGGGAATAGATAGCTACAGGCCTGAGGCAAGCCAAGCTAATGGGAGGAGCAGCCACAATTCATCACAATCATCTGCTGGGAGGCTGTTCCTCTAACGCCCAAGAGGGGGCACTGTTGCCCCACAACAATTTATGGCTTTCCCAGGCTCTGCTGTCAACAGAGAGGAATGGCTTTCTGGTTCAACTTTTTAAACTGGAGATCAAGTGTATGGCTGTACACACAGTTTTTCTTCAAGTTGAGTTCCTTCATTGTTTTCTGTGTTGTAGATAATCTTGTAGGTCTTGTTTGGCTTCAGACTTTCACAATATCATTAATAAACAAAAATATCCAATGCAATTCAATTCAGAAGTTATTCTGCATGCACGTCATAATAAAATAAGAAGTATCTCTGAAACCAATTCAGTATGAGTGTTGATTTGAAAGGAGAAGGTTTGATAATACCCTGATAGCCTTCCAGGTAGTGTGACATTGTATCTCTGAGAGGGAGGAAACAGGAGAGGTGATGGTGGAGGAGGACAGCTGTACATTATTGATTTGGAAGCCAAGCATCAGAGGTAGAGAACTCCCACCTGATCAGTGTCTTGCTTCATCAGGCCAATCCCAGAGGACGAGCAGGCAGATCTCCAGTAGTGTATAGTATGAAACCTGTCTCCTCTCCTCACCGTCCAAACCAGCCAGGGAGCAACTGGAGTTACATATCCCTAACACGCACACGCGCACACGCACACGAACGAACAGTCTCTCAGATGTTACTTGGAGTCTGAGACGGTAAAATCCTTCAACAGTCTGTGGGCCTCCCTCTCTCTCATCTCTCTGTCCCTCAGCATTAGAGGATTCCGTTGCTCACTGCTCTAAATGGACCAGTTCGGGCACAAGCTCATTATACATGTGTTTGTAGACATATCTAATTAAAATAAGCCTACCAGTGTGCTAATTTAATGTAACCTTCAGTATGAGTCATAGAATGGTTATTCATTTATAGATATTTGATCCGATGGTCTAAGGCAGGGAGGGGTATTCAGCTCTTACCCTACGAGGTCCGGAGCCTGCTGTTTTTCTGTTCTACCTGATAATTAATTGCACACACCTTGGTGTCCCACGTCTTAAACAGTCCCTGATTAGAGGGGAACAATGGGGGGGGGGGGGGGGGGGGGGGGGGGCAGTGGAACTGGCTTCAAGGTTGAATTTGAGGGGTCTAAGATATATTATAAACTGGGTGGTTCGTCTGCTCTAATTATGTTGGTAACCAGTTTATAATAGCAATAAGGCACCTTGGGGATTTGTGATATATGGCCAATATACCACGGCTAATGGCTGTATCCAGGCACTCCGCGTTGCTTCGTGCATAAGAACAGCCCTTAGCCGTGGTATATTGGCCATATACCTCACCCCCTCATGCTTTATTGCTTAATTAGGTTGAATGTGTATTAAGTTGATTACTATGGAATTGCTTCGATCCAAGTTGGGTGACTTTTAGAATTGTGTCAGTGTATTGACGGTTCTTGTCAAACGTGCTCGTCTCTTCCTCAGAACGTTTTCATCTCCACCTCAAAACTCTGCCCTCTCGCATCACACCTAACTAATCCTGCACCCTACCCCTACAGACTAGTGTTTTCTGGCGTCCTACTTCATATAGATAAATAGATTATGCCTAATTGTATTTTTCTGTTCCGTCATATTCATGAGGTTACTGTTGTTGGTTGCCATTTCCCTGTAATGCTATTCCCAGCCAGTGAGTGCCTAACTAATTATATTTCGTCAAACCTACTTGTTTTGTATCAAAGCGTCTGACTTGAAAGACTTCTGATTCTAATGTATTTATCCACTGAGGAGCGAAAGCTCTTTGTTGGAATTCTCCCAGTGATGCGGTGACCTCATTTACTATCACCTAGAGATAAAGAATGCAATTAAACATTACATTTTGACTTATGAAGAGGTGATTATCCCTATTCAAAACATCTACGCTCCTTTCCTCACATTTCTGCCACAGATGATTGCTACAAGTTTAAAACACAAAGCCCTGAAAGTTGCACAAAGCTCGGTTTCCATCTCCCCCACCCTTCCCGACCCCAAAAACAGAGCTAACAAGCAGTCTTAGAAATAAAACCTCTTCCTGTTATTTGACGGTTTATGTCAGGCGATCAATATATTCAGATAGCTTAAACCAAAATGGTGGCAGGCAGACTGACACCCCTTCAAACTCCCACCCGTCACATGGCACAATAAAGCCTTGTCTGGGGCTTGTCTTCCTCTTCATGGCCCAGGATGCTTTGTGCAGCCATCTTTTGGGCTCCTTTCTCCTTGGTGATTAGTTTTTTTTCTCCTTTGGGATCCCATTCAGGGTGCCCATTGTTCTGTGATTATCCATTCCTCTGGTGATGTGTACAGCCCAGTGGCATAATAGTACCCATACAATGATGTCACAGCTTTATTTGCTGCGGGGACCATTGATTTCACCCCCTTTTCTGCCTCTCCTAATTTTCTATACCCCAATTCTGTGCTTCTTAAAAAGCTTGGGGGATTTGTGGGAGTTTAGCACACCCACGATACATGTTGGATGCAGATATGAGCGGGGAAGGTGGCAAATCCATCCAAACACACATTTAATTCCCATTTGTTTGTCTTGTTTGGTCTCAGATCTTGGTTCTCAAATCTGAGCTAGTTGTTTTGCCCTGTACAACACGGTTTCTTCAGCAAAATGTAAATTGCCAGATGACAATTGTTTTTCTTTCTGCAGTAGCAAAGTTATTTTTAGGTGTTAGCCAATGTTTTTGTTCGAGGTGTTGTTTAAGGTGGTCTGGGCTCTCTCTCTCTCTCTCTCTCTCTCTCTCTCTCTCTCTATTCGTACACGTTTACGTGGATTCTGACATCTCAAACAAGCCCTGTTGATTGTGTAATGGGAAGAAAAATCATAACTTGTCATCTCAATGAAGGCTGTGGCATGAAGTGAGGTGAAATACCTAGCCTCATTTTTATATTGTTATACCATACCCTTTTCTATGTGACTTTTTTGCTCTGTAAGATTACCTTGGGTATATAGTTATTTAGCTGTCTGTCTGTGCTGTGTTGGATGTTGGAAAAACATCTTCGTCCACTATTTCTATATGATAACACATAATGGTTGTGAAAGGGTAGTCATTAGTGTATGGTTTTCCTTGCCAGTCCTGGTAGGTACTGTCAACAGCCCTTTAATGACAGACAAGGTTTTTTCCTTCTATATCAATTAAATGTCACTCTTACAGCATACTCCTTTTGAATGTTTACATCTTTGAGGATTCTGTTGAAAGGTGCTGCATGTAATGCAGGAAAACAATCAAGTATGTACCGCACTACTTAAAGATAGACATGCCCTGGGTAGGCTACATAGTGAATAATATTGCATGGAAATGAAAGGCCTTTTTTTCAGTATTATGTCTTGAACTGTTAAATGTGGCCTATTTTCTTTGTTCTGTATTTCCCCCTAAAGATGTATGACTACGACAATGCTGCGGATAGTTGGTTGACCACTTCACACCATTTATGTCCAGCATCGGATTGGATTTAGTTGATTAAACCTAGTGGATTTGGAGAGGGAGGCAGCTGTAGATGTTTGACCTGGAGGATGCTTGTTTCCCACAAGCCTAGTGTAAAAATGGACAAGGCTCTCCAGCTCTCACAGCCGCAGTGTCTGCATACCAGAGGGCTCAAGCTGGCTGCCTAGACAATCACTAGGGTTGCCACACAGAAGAAGCTCTACAGTAGTGAATAGCAGCCATCAGCCTCGCCTCTCCCTCCTCCCTGGGCCAAAGCATACATTCTACTAAATGTATACAGTTTCAAAATGGAGGCCATGGTGGGTCCATGTATCCCGGCATTTGGCATGCCACTGTTTCTGTCATTTAATTTGAGCACATTGTTTCCAGCATGAGCTGCTCTTGAAAGGGCTGTGGGGTTGGCCCTTGGCATCGTGATAAGTGCATAGTGCCTAGTCCGTAGCAGGCAAAGCTCCCTCTAATCGTTTTGTTATGGCTTATACTTGTCCTGTTTATTGCATGTTCATCTTGCCAGAATTAAATAGTCTGTGCCATGCTTTCCAACCTGAGCCCCTTGTAGCGAGGCTGTAAGACATCCCCAGAGAAAGTTCAGTCAGTGTTGGTTTAACCTATTACATTGTGGCAACCGTGTGGCAATATTCTCCAATTTACACTTCCAAAAAATGAATTGTAGAAAATGAGGATTTGATTAAAGAAATAGTTTTTGAATATCACTCTGCAGCACACTAGCTTTATGTGCTATGTTATTAATGTGTCACTCACAATCTGCAGCCACAATAGATTCTGTGTCAGTCAACCCTTCATCCACAGTGTGACTTCCCAACAGGCTGAATGAGAG